ACTCGCATCAGTATGAATGAAAATTAAGCAAACACTTTTACTAAAAACCATTTGCTCTTGAGTAAATGGCCTGCAAAATGTAAAGCTTTACATGTTTATAAGTTTGCAGAAAATAAAAATATCATAACCGAAACGGAAAGCGGCACCGGGGAGGGTCACGTACTGGAGGACAGATACAAAAAAAGCGCATCAAACGCGACGAACGCAATGCCGTTTACGTGCACAATGTGCTGTGCATCGGCACCCATGGTCTACATGTGGATAGGGTTTTCAGTCCCTACCTGATTCCGTGGGTTTTCCCCAGACTATTCTTCTGGGGTTTTCCTCCCACCTCTAAAACTGTAATTTCTTCTCATTGTCTTCTCTCTACGTTTTTTTTTTTCGGGGTTTGCGAGCTACAGTGCCCGGGGCATGCACTTTTGAGGATCCTTGGTTTTATTAACAGAAAAAAATTATTTATCGTTTACTTCGTTTCGTATGAATATAAAGGAGTAAATGCTTCAGATTTCAAATATGCACTTGTCATTAACAAGGCTGGGTTGGGGCAACCTTGAAATTATAAAGTAAAATACTTCTGCGCAAAAATTACTGCATTTATTAAAGTTCATCAATAATAATAATAATAATAATAATAATAAACCATTCTTATAAAGCGCATTTTACACGGGGTCCCAATGCGCTGAACAATTAACAGAGGAAAACACTAACATTATATTTCATTTGCAGTGAACAGATGGGTTTTAAGATTAGCTTTGAAAACGTCCAGGGTTGGGGCTTCCTTGATGTGATTGGGTAGTTTGTTCCAGAGGGTTGGGGCTGCAGATGAAAACGCTCGCTGACCGTATGACCTTGTCGATGTTGAGGAGCAGGCGAGCAGGGATTGTGAGCTTGATCGAAGATTTCTACGGGGTTCATATTTATGGATTAATTGCTGGAGGTAAGTAGGGGCGAGACGATGGAGACATTGGTATGTTAGGAGAAGGGTTTTGTAGATTATCCTCCTCTTGACTGGGAGCCAGTGCAGATTACGGAGAATAGGTGATATGGGTTGATGGGGCTTCGAGAGGGTGACTAGTCTTGCAGCTGAGTTTTGGATGCGTTGGAGTTTGGCGATTTGTGAGTCTGGTAGCCCTTGAAGTAAACTGTTGCAAAAATCTAGGCGACAAGTAATAAATGCATGAGCAAGCTTTTCTGTGGTGTGCGGGTCGAGGAATTTGCGGATCTGTCCGATTTTAAAACATGGCATCAAGTACAAATGATACCATGTTCGTATGAATAAAACATGGCATTTGTTTTTGCTACCATTTTGAAGCATTTACTCGCATCTGTGTGAATGAAAATTAAGCAAACACTTATACTAAAAACTGTTTGCTAAATTCTGAAAATAATTACTTTTACCTTTAAGCTTTTGCTACACTATAAGCGTTTACTTCGTTTCTTATGAATAAAAAGGAGTAAATGCTACAAATTTTAAATATTTACTTGTCATATTTCAAGGTTGGGTTGGGGCTAGCTTGAAAATATAAAAGCGCGAAAAAGTACAAATAATACCATACGGTAGTTCGTATGAATAAAAACTGGCATTTGCATTACTCCCATCTGTACGTTTCGTATGAATATAAAGGAGTAAATGCTTCAGATTTCAAATATGCACTTGTCATTCACAAGGCTGGGTTGGGGCAACCTTGAAATTATAAAGCAAATAATTCTGTGCAAAAGCTACAGCATTTATTATATGTTAATCGCGAAAAATTAATATTAACAAAGTCCATAAAGTACAAATGATACAGTGTTCGTATGAATAAAACATGGCATTTGCTTTTACTGGTACTTCCAATTTTGAAGCTTTTACTCGCATCTGTATGAATGAAAATTAAGCAAACACGTTCGTGTAGGTTTTATATGAATTAATCCCTAAACCCTATGATCTCAGAATAAATACAAGATTTCTATTGTTTTAGCCACTGTGACCTTGTCCCTTGACCTTTCGACCCCAAAGCGATAGACCTATGACCAAGAACGATCCACAAATCAAATGTGAAGTTCACATGTAAAGTATTTCTCAAGTTATCGCGCTGACAAAATTTCTTTTGGTTTAGCCACTGTGACCTTGACCCTTGACCTTTTGGCCCCAAATGCAAAAGGCTTCTTAGGATTGCCAAGGACAATCTACAAACCAAATTTGAAGTTCATATGTAAAGTATATCTCAAGTTATCACGCTGACAAAATTTCTGTTGTTTTAGCCACTGTGACCTTGACCCTTGACCTTTTGGCCCCAAATGCAAAGGCTTCTTAGGATTGCCAAGGACAATCCACAAACCAAATTTGAAGTTCATATGTAAAGCATTTCTCAAGTTATCGCGCTGACAAAATTTCTATTGTTTCAGCCACTGTGACATTGACCCTTGACCTTTCGGTCCCAAATGCAATAGACTTCTTAGGATTACCAAGAACAATACACGAACCAAATTTGAAGTTCATATGTTTAAGTATTTCTCAAGTTATCGCGCTGACAAGATTTGTCCGGACACACACACACACCCACACCCACCCACCCACGGAAGGAAAAGGCGGAAACAGTATGCCCCTTCGGCTTCGCCGCGGGGCATAAAAATGCCTGAAAGGGCACTCCCTAGCACGTCCAAGAAAGTGAGACTATTTTTAATTTAAAAACCATTCATCCAAATTTTACCAAACTTACCCTATTTTCCCTCGTTTGAATCAAGCTGCTCTAATGTACCGCCTCTTTACATATTTAGGCCACGCCCGCAAAATGATGAAAATAACACGTTAGAATGTTAGAATTTACAAAGTGAATGTAAAATACAGTTTTCTGAGGTTTCTTTTTTTGCACTCCCCTTTTTGAAAAATCAAGCTCCGCCCCCCAAATGGGCAAGATCCAAGATGCGTTCACCTCTAAAAATTATGTTCGCCCATTTCAATTGGACATGCCAATTTTCAGAATTTTACCACCAAACTGAATGATGTTTTCCATATTAAAACCAAACTGCTAATATATACCGCCTCATTTACCATTTAGACCACGCCCACAAAATGGGTGGAAAATTAACAGGTGTTAGAATGCTAGAATGTCTTATTTCATGTTTAAGTTTATTTCAAAGCGTAAAAAAACAAGGAAATTTGATGTTAAATACAGTTTTCATGAGTTTGTATTTTTTGCACCCCCTTTTTTGAAAAATCAAGCTCCGCCCCCAAAATGGGCAAGATCCAGGATGGGTCCCGAGCTTAAAACGATTTTTAGCCCATTTTGACCCCACATGCCAAATTTCATGCTTTTACCACAAAGTGCACGATTTTTCGCTTAGCAGCTCCACTACTTGGCGATGTTACGATTAAACCATCTAAATCGTTGCGTAACTTGGGCGTTGTCATCGATCCTCCATTGAGCATGAGTGACCAAGTTTCTTCCATCGTTAAATGTGTCAGTTTTCATCTCTGGAACTTATCACGCATTCAACGTTTCATGAACCAAGAGACATGTAAAATGGCTGTTCAGTCGCTAATCTTCTCCCGGATTGACTATGGAAATGCGTTGCTTTACGGTGCCAATGAAGGTGACTTAACTCGTCTGCAAAGGCTACAAAACAGGGCTGCCAGACTAATTTTTCTTGTTGCTCGTGACCATCCGAGCGCACCGTTGTTACGTCGCCTTCATTGGCTACCAAAATAAGAACGCATACATTTCAAACTTCTTGTCATTGTATACAAGTGTATCAACTCTATGGCACCTTCATATCTCCAAGAACTCATCTCTTTCAACACATCTGTCTATGCCACCCGCTCATCATTTGACAAAACACGTCTCCATAACCCCCAAACTAAGTCGCGTACTGGAGATCGTGCCTTTCAAGCCGCTGCTCCCCGGTTGTGGAATTCCCTACCCCGTAACATCCGGGAAGCCAACCAGTGGCGTAGCCACCGGGGGGCGTGGGGGGGGGGGGGGGGTCGCCCCCTGAAACCTTGTCGCCCCACCAGAGATTTTGAGTTTCTAAAATAATTATCATTGATCTACATGACGCCATGGGCCCTATTATGTACCACAATGTATCTTTTGCTTAGAAAATATTGGTTAAAGTGGTCAGAAATTGCCTCAGATAGCACCACAGAGCATTTAGAATCCAAAAATTTTCGGGGCCCTTTAGCGGGCCCCGAACCCCACGCCAATAAGCTCAGAATACCGATAGCTGATTCAATGTCTCCAACCTCGAAAACGATGTTCAAATAATTATCTTTTGCCAAGAAAATATTAGTTAAAGCATGGAGGAAAGTAGTCAGAAATTGCTTCAAATCACACCACAGAACATCTAGAATCCAATTTTTTCGGGGCCCTTAAGCGGGCCCCGAACCCCACGCAGTAAGGGATTTGCGCTTCGCGCTTGCATCAGTTATGATCAAGGTATGTCCCCCCCACTTTCGAGATGCGATTGACGCCCCTGCTTGACGCCCCCCATGAAATGTTCCAGCCCCCCCCAGCGCCCCCCCCTACTGAAAAATTCCTGGCTACGCCACTGAAGCCAACACACTTCAGCTCTTCAAAAATAGACTCAAAACCAATTTATTTGTTTAATCATGCCATATATTTTTTTGCTTGTATAGTTTTTTTGTATCTGTATCAATGCATTTTTTTGTTTGAATCTTTAATTATTTTGTCAGCTTTTGTAAAGCGCTCCAATCTTTGTGGGGCGCTATAAAAATGCCTATAGGCCTATGTATGTATGTATGTATGCATGAAAAAGACGGTCACTACGCATACGGAGCACATAGAACTGACAAGAGTTAATTAGTCAAAAAACGTGAGCGATATAGGAGCAAAATACCGCATCGGGTTCCAATAAAAACAAGGGGTTCATCATCAAAGGTAATCCTGGCTCAGGACTGGAATTGTTATTTTTCTTTTCTGATTCAACTGAATAGAATTGTGTGTGGGAGCAGCTATAGGCTTATCGTCTTGTTGTTATTTATAAATGTCGATAATGTTCAAATTCACTGTTATTTTTTTGACAACAGGTTAATTGCTCAAAACCGACGTGGTATACTGTCCATCAACTATGGGTCTTTTCCAGTGCTTCAGAGAAATGTTCAGCTCCTCAACTCGAAGAAAACCTGTGCAGAGGGACGCAATCCCAACACCTCTACATCGATGCCTTGGTGTAGTCGACCTGACTTTACTTGGTGTCGGAAGTATGATAGGATCTGGTAGTTTTCTTTTACCGGGACAAGTTTCTGGAGTAGTGGCGGGTCCGGCTGCTCTATTGGTTTTCTTCCTCTCGGGTATGTTGGCTTCACTGTCTGGCCTGTGTTACATAGAGTGTGCCTTACAGCTACCTGGAACGGGAGCGTCTTACCTGTACGCCTATGCGACACTTGGAGAGATGATAGCGTTCTTAACTGGGTGGAGTAGTGTGGCAGCACGAATCGTTGCGCTTGCTTCCATAGGACAGGTATGGAGCGCCTATTTAGACGATGCTTTAGGCGGCTCCATTGGAAATGCTACCGTCCAGTTTGTCCTTGGAGGTCAGGAATGGAATGCACCTCTTCTTGGTACCCATCCCGATTTTATCGCTGGATTGCTGATCCTTGTGTCTGGTGGTATTATTTCTTTAGGTACCAATGTATTCTCCAAAGCTAACAATTTATTCATGATAACCACTTTACTGACTCTGATGTTGGTTTTCATTGTGGCCATGATTCATGCAGATTTCTCCCTCGTAACAGAGCATGGGTTTGCACCAAGGGGAGTTGGATTTGATGAGATTGTAGGAAGTGCAATCATTGCTTACGCAGGTTATGCTGGGATCGAATCTATCGCCCTAGCAGCTGAGGAAGCAAAAGACCAATCCAAGGATCTCTTGATAGGACTTCTGTCTGCTCTTGGAATCAGTATCTTAGTCTACATGACTGGAGTCCTCTCAGTCACTGTATTAACAGAATACAGTAACATCGATCTTAAAACCCCGTTTGAGGCAGCGTTTAATGATCTTGATGGTCTACGTTGGATGAAGTACATCGTAGCAGTAGGTGCGTTATGCAGCATAACGGGAGGTGCTCTAAACCTATCCTACGCTATGACTCGTTTCATATATCCCATGTCAAGAGATGGACTTCTTCCTTCTGTGCTCTCCAGGACCAACGAGAGAACTAAGACTCCCTTGCTAGCTAACCTTCTTAGCACATGTATTTCTGTTGTTTTTGCCGTATTAATTGACATCAAGATTTTAATACAGACCGGCTCCATGCTATATACACTTGAGACCGTCATTATAATATTTGCGGTGACTATCTTGCGTTACAGACCCCCTAACCGGAGTGGCGGGTACGTAGAACTGGGCGGCGTAGACAAGGGTGATTTCAAGGAGGGTGCCAACGAGGCTCATGGACGCAAGAATACTACAACAGATTTGAAGGGATTGCTTAAACCTAAGCCAGAAACTGACACTGCTGAAACCAACGCTACAAACGAGCTACAAAAGCGTCCATCTTGGATTCACAAGGGCTGTGCCATCATTCTTCGATGGATCAGAGAACATACAACCAGATCCGTGATTCTTTCACTCTGCTTTCACCTCATCTTTGAGTTCCTTCTCCTAGCGTTGTTGACCTTCAACATGGACGACTTGTTGCGAGTCCATGACCCAGGTCTAATACTCGGGATAGTCGTAAGCAGCGCTTTAACTCTCGTCTCGTGCTGTCCACTGTTACTTCTACCGCAATACACCGATGACCTCCCATTCAAAGTAAGATTTCAAAACAAATAAAATAATTTAGTAACAAAAAGCCATTTACCTTCGGCATATTGAAACATACACGAACAGAAGCGATTCTTTATTTTACCATGTTGTTTTACAGAGAAGCCATGGGAAAAATCCATATCTGCAAGCCTTTTCTCATATTAAATAACCGGCCTATCCATCAACCGAACATTTGGATGCACACCTGTTAATAGGCCTCAACCCCTCCACCAAGCTCATGAATAAAAAGTGATACCCTCAAAATATTCTATATTAGAGAGTTTTGAGAGCCATAAAATTTTGGAATTGAAGAGATGGCAATGAACCTCTAGCCCGGACTTAGGGCTTTCAATTTTGAGCATTTTGGATGCAATTGTGCTCGAAAGTGGCGCTAATTTCTCGAAAAGGCAATGGTCAACCCACCAAAAAATGAAAAGAAAATGAAAGATGACATGTTGATCATTATTTTTCTGTGCAACTTAAATACATGTGAGAGTTCTTAGTATTTGTAAAACAATTTTGAAGTATGGGCGTTTAGCAATGGTGTCTGTTGGAATTTTAATACAGGGGTGCATCCATCTGACAGGAAAGCATTAACATGTCTCCCTAATATATCTTGTCTTCCTTATGTACAACTTTTTTAAAGCAAATTGTGTCTCCCTGATGGGCCGTTTGCAATATTTTGATAAAGTCAAAGACAGATATAATCATTTTACGTCTATGTTGTATAATAAAAAAATTGTCGTAAGCGGGACCTGAACCTGCGCCCCCTGAACACCCTGAGCACCGGTCGCACTCTAAATCAGTTATTTATTCTATTAGCGCAACATTTTCAGCATTTCCAAGTTTCTAATTCCTGTGATTTTGTTGGTCATAACAAACTAAATGGTTAAACGTACTATTAATTTCGAATTGGCGAATGCGCAGTACTTTGAGTTTTGAAATAAAAATAACCCAAATATTCTGGACTTTTTTTGTTGATACAGGTACCACTGATGCCCTTGCTACCGCTGATTGCTTTGCTTGCTGCTGTCATTCTGTTGCTACACTTTAATTCCTTGGTCTATGTAGGAGTCGTCGTTTGGTTGTGTTTAGGTAAATAATATCACATTATAGGCTGCCCATGCAGGATGTAAGCGGGAAGGGAAAAATTCGCACAAGACTCAAAGGCATGTGCAGCTTTTTTTCCCGCTGAGATGCTATTGCTCCTTGTTCGAATGTATTTTGAGCTATGTTAAATTAATCCAAGGCGAAAAGCTTCACAAAAGATCATAACATGTCAGAACATTAACAGATCATTACATTTCCGTCAGAAACAAAGAACCTTTTATAGACGACCGCCCACCCCAAATTTTTTTATAGACGACCGCCCACCCCAAAACAAACCAACCTGTACCCACAATCGTCATGAAATTAGTTATAACTGTTTCTGACGAAACGTTTAGCGACGTATTCTTGATTACAATGGCGACCGATTAATATGGCGTGTAGCCACGTGTTCAGTAAGTCAAAGAAGACCAACATATGTTAAATGATTCTGTGAATCCAATATGTCCGCTATCGACGTGTACTATTTCATCAAGATGGATTCTGCTCAAGGTTGTCACCCTATATATTTTGTTTTGGTTCTTGCAGTGAAAGAACTTAAATTAGTGACGCACTCACAAATGATTATTTAGGTATTAACATAAGATTTCACACAAATCCCCACCAGTTGAAATGTCCTTAATACATGGTTAAATTCACACTTCATTTCTTTTCTGAATCGACTTGTCTGTTTTCTCCTGACAGGACTCATCGTGTACTTTACGTACGGCATGAAGCACAGCGTGGAGGCCACACGACAAGATGTTCACCTGAATGATCAGTGACGAAGGCAGTGACGTCATTGCCAATGAAATGTTTCTTTGTGTTGACTGATCAATGATGTTTCATTTTCTCATTGGCTGATGATTTCTGGATCCAATATCATGTGGCTTCCAAGCACAATTACATGAGAACAAGTCATAATAATTATGATACTGTATTCATTTCATGACATTTTCTGAAAATCTGTTTTTCTAAGAACACGGTCATTATTGCGAAAATATTCACTGAATTACTCTTTTGGCTTGTATAACGTTTCGTGTAGCAAGTCATTGCTGCGTATAGCAGATCTCTGTGCTCACCAGATCCACGTAGTTAATTGGCATTTGGTTTGAATCCAGACGTACTTACCATAAGCGGCCTCCCTACGCCCAAAATCGACTCCAGACACAAGACGTCTACAAGCCTCATCAGCGTGACTCCATCCCATGCATGCCACAGGCCAATTTCGTAAAGAGCTCATCTATCAAATATTGTTCCCTCTGACAAACATTTTAAATGTTCTCACCGATATTAGGTACATGAATTAGTTCCTGGCTTTCATATAGAAGGCTCATTTACATATTCTGCGAATCCCAACATGTAAGCTCAGTCAATATCTAAACTCCACCGAATGCGTTCACTGTGTTGTTTCTGTTTCTGTTCCATAAACGTACAAACACCTAGAAGGTTGTCGACGTACGTTGGTCAGGGTCAGGTGTGCAGCAACTAAATTCTTGATTGGGTTTTGGAAGCCAGGTCTTGAATGTTGATGTTGTCCAGTGCCAGTTTGAAAGTCTTAATGTCAGGTGAAGAGCGGATGTTAGGGTGAAGTTGATTCCATTCTAGGATGGTCTTTGGGTACATTGAGTAACGAAAGTAGTCCTTATTTGTGGTGATGACTCTATATGAGAAAGGTCCGGTCTGTCTAGTAGAAACCCCCCTTGATGAGTTGACGATGTTCAGATAATCTTCCATATTACTCGGTGTAAGCCAATGGGTTTCTTTGTAGAGTGTGACTAATCGAACTTTGGTCCGTCGATCTTGAAGAGTGTCCCATTTGAGTTTATTAAACATTGCTGAGATGCTTGACTCCCTGCTGTAGTCTTGCATAACAAATCTAGCTGCTCTGTGTTGAATGCTTTCTAATTCTTTTTATCCGACGCATGATGAGGATCCCAAAAGGCGGAACAATATTCTAGCCTTGGTCTGACTAGTGTCTGATACGCAATGGACTTGGTATTACTGTTGCAGTGGTGGATGTTTCTCTTGAGTAGCCCGAGCATACGATTGGCTTTAGAGATGATCTGATCAATGTGAGTGGACCACTTGAGATCATTACTAAATTCAACCCCCAGGTAGGGATGGTGTTTAACCTCTAGTAGTTTGGTATTACCCATGTGATAACTGGAGTCGACTGAGTTCTTCTTGTGGGTGATCTTCATGGTGTGACACTTGGAGGCATTGAATGACATGTGCCAATCTTTTCCCCATTTTTCAAGTGTGTTGATGTCCTGTTGGAGAATGCAAGGGTCTGCTGCAGTTTTTATTTCCCGGTACATGACACAGTCATCTGCAAAGAGTCTCACATGCGATTTGATGTTCTGTGGCAGATCGTTAATGTATACTAAAAACAGGAGAGGACCCAGCACTGTCCCCTGTGGAACCCCAGAAATGACCTTCGACTTGTTTGAAGAAGTGCCCTCAAAAACAACTTGCTGGTAACGTTGAGTGAGAAATGAGTCAATCCATTCCAGAGCATTGTTCCTGATGCCGATGTTGTGGAGTTTCCTCAAAAGACGTTGGTGAGGCACCGAGTCAAATGCTTTCTTTAAAATCCATTACAATTAAGTCAGCTTGACTCTTATTGTTAAGAATTCCAGCCATGTCGTGGGTCACAGCAGCTAACTGGGTGTCACAAGAGGGACCTCTGCGAAAACCATGTTGGGCATCCGTCAGGAATAGACGTCAACGACACAGGTCTGTAATTACCAGGATTTTTGCTATCACCTTTCTTGTAAAGTGGCGTGACGTTTGCTTCAAGCTAAGCTTTAGGTAAACATCCAGTATCCAATGATTTTTGGAAGATCTTAGAATAAACTGGTGCAAAAGCAGAGGCGCACTCTTTCAAGATTCTAGGAGGTATGGCATCAGGTCCTGGTGCTTTGCTTGGTTTCAGATCTTTCAGTAATTTCTCTACCCCAATTGAATGTGTTTGAATTTCTGGCATGTCGGGTATGTCCAAGTCTGGTAATGTAGGGAAACTGTCCAGGTTTTCGTTTGTGAAAACTGAACTAAACTGTTCATTCAGCACATTAGCCTTGTCAATCGGAGAGATCACAGTGGCACCAGATGAATCAGTCAATGTGGAGATTCCAAACATCTGCTGCCTTTGGGCTTTGATGAAATTCCAGAATGGTTTTGTGTTGTTGCTTTGGAGACTACAGCCGATGACATCATGGATGTATTCTTTCTTGGCTTTCCGAATTTGCGGTCAGTCGTTCTACGATGTTTTTTTAACAGTTTCCACTTGGTTGATGTCATTTTGGATGGAATAAATTTGCTGTTGATTAACATCCTTCTGAGCCACGTAGTCGGGTGTAATTTTTTTGTCGAAATCCTTAATACAGTCGGCAAAAGCAGCATGATTGGCCTTGGCATACAGCAGTATCTTCCTTCTTGCTGGGCGAACTAATTTTGGTTTAACTAGTATGTTAACTACAACCGCTTCATGGTCGCTTACACCTGGGATGACATTGGTACTCTATACAAAGGAAGGGCAGTTAGTGAAGCACAAGTCCAATATGTTATGAAGTCTGGAAGGTTGTTTTACTTGTTGACTCAAGTTGTTGTCAAGGGCAATGTCAATCATGGTTTTACTCTGTCCAGCGTAAGACCCTCCAGGGTTGAATTTATACTGATCCCAGTTCACATCAGGGAGATTAAAATCCCCCAGTAACCAAATTGATGCATTACGAGGGATTTTTCTGAGGGCAGAATCCAGATTTTTTATGTACTCCACATCCGATGTAGGGGGACGATAGAAAGCACCTACATACAGTGGCGAGGAACCATGAACACGTATGCTATGAACACGTGTTGTGTTCGTGCGTCAATTAATAATGGACCTCGACTTCGTCTCGGTCCATTAACAGCGGTCACCCCCACACCCGGTCATTATCACGCAGTGAAGACCGGCTCCTCACACTGTTTTCCCCATACCTTTATAACGAAATAAACAGTTAAAATGCTCCAATTTTGTGACTTTTTCCGGCGATATTTCCAGACTTGTTTGTGTTCATGTTCATGGGCCATATTTTAGCTTAACAGCTATAACAGCTATAACGACGTAAACTCAACAGAAACTGCTGCCGTAGCGAAACAAATTACAACAATGTTTTCATATTGTAACGGGAATCCGGGGCTCGATATACCCAGGGGTACAACGAATCCCTAAAAACCCGCCGGGATTAGGGAGCGTCTCATAAGTTGGAACGCTCGGAATGTTCTCATTGGAACGGCGTGTTCCCAAACTGGAACGCCCCGGCGTTCCACTGGGAACACGGGACCGTTCCGTTGGAACGGCGAAATCCCTTTGCGAGAACGGTCCAGCGGAACGGTCGGGCACACGCGTTCTATTGCGCGTTCCAGCGGAACGTTCCCAGCAAATCGCGTATACCATGGCCCAGTTTCGAATATTAGCCCATTTTGCGTCAGGAAAAATGGCGTCGCGATCTCCGGCAAACCGTTCGTCACTGAACGGTAGGTTTTGCCTGTTTTTGAGGATTTATATGTAATATTTGGACGTGATTGTGAAATTTCTGTGATGGTTTGGGTAAAAAGTTCGACACAAGGTACGAGTGAGCGTTAATGCGGATGGAATCTTGGTAAATCTAATGATGTAAATATCGTTTCTGTGGTGAAATGTCGGTAGCCCCGAACCTACCATCACATGCAATCGCTACGCTGTGGTGAGTATGTATTCACGTCAAAGTATGTTGCACAAGAACAATATTTCTTTAAATAATACTTTGATAATGCGTACTAGATGAAGGGAATCTCCTCAAAAAGTCGTAGATAGAGGAGGGGTGAGGGGATTTCGAAATATGTTAAGTGAATTTCTGTTAAATATTATAATCGATTACGAAACGCAGTGGCTATTGTTACGGCAGATGTGAAGTTCATCGGTGAAATTTCGCCCTGAACTTTTACATGGCTACGGTGATTGTGTTTTCTCGTTTACAATTGATACAGGGCGCATGTTTGTAGAATGCATGCAAGGACAAAAATTGTCTTGAACACTACGTGATAGGTTTACTGAAATTACCCGACAAAAATAGCGTAGAAGGAGTGAGGGATTTTGAATTAAAAACAAATCATTTTCAAACAAGAATTATAGTCTTCATCTCAAAAACAGCCCAGCTGATAAAATGTACTTGAGGGCCTGAATGTTTTGGCTTGGTACTATGCTATGCTTTTACGAAATAAAAAAAAGGATAAAAGCGGAGCTTACTATTGACGATATAATTTTTGTCAGACAAAAATCTGCGTTTGAGCATAAACTCTGACTCCGGGTCCTGCTGCACGGACGTACTCACGTACGTATACCCAAGCGCGAATACCCATCTGTGGAGCGTTCCGCCGGGAACACGGTGTTCCCTCCCCGTTCCAGCTGGACCGCAGATCGGTGCGTTCCATTCATTGCGTGGAACGCACCCGCGTTCCATTGGGAATGCGGCACGTTCCCATTGGAACGCCTGGCGTTCCTACGGAACGTTCCATTGGACCGCGAACGTTCCCGACTTATGAGACGCTCCCTTAATAACCAGGAGAAATTCGGTGATGTATGTCTGAGCTAGTGCTTGACCGGGACCAGCGTTGAGGGCGCCGTCACAACCTCAGGACGTCAACCTGACCCAAGTGGAGTTCGTCTGGTAGCGTAGCTTTCTTCAAGGCCTCGATGACTTTATGGATAGGGGAAGGGTAAGGGGAGGGGTTGGACTATAACTTGGCTCGCAAACGCAAAAGAAAAGGGAAGGCTGGGG